GAAAAAAGCCAAATTATATTGTACAGAATGTGGCATCTCTATCATAATTGATACCTGCCACATGTTTCTGTGTTGCTAAGGGAATTCAGAGACACTGCATTGGTGGCCAAAGCATGGGACAAGGCACAGGATGCTTCCTGGGGTGCAGCCTCCACAAAAACACAGAATTTTTGTCTAGTTTCAGGCAAGCAATCGAGTCTCATCACATACTCAGATCACACACTAACACATAAAAAGCAACTGCTCACCAAAACTCACTCCAACATCAAGTGAAGAATGGCTCGGGAAACGCAGGATTCAATTTCTAGCACTCAGCTAAAGACTTACTGAATTACAATAGGCACTAATATTATCCTGGATTTCATTAAGCCAAGCCTTAAAACAGGGCTAATTCTCCCTCACCACAGAGAAGAGTTTTCATAATAAAATGTGTAAATTATTTCAAGACTCTCTGATATTGTAGTGCTGAATTAATATAATTACACAAACAGAGAGCACTAAACATTGTTGATTGAACACATTTCTTTTAAAAAGCGCATTATTTTATATTTATCTCTATTTGTATTGATATAAGAAGATGCACATACAGTCGAAATTCTTCTGGGCATTCCCTTTGAATTATTCATTAAAAACAAACTTTGACTTTAGCTATATGCACAGATCAGGAGGAAGCCACAAGTCATGAAATTGGCTCAAACTATGCCAGTCTTTCAAGTACGCGCCTGAAAACATCCAGATTCCCAAGGCAGTGAAACGGCTGCTAATCAATTAGACAAAACTATGTATGGAACGTCAAGAAAGGATGTCCATGTTACTCCTAAGCGTGGTCTTTTTCTTCTTACTTTCTACTTACTTGCATCCCTTCTATAAGAGAGGCATTTAAGATTTTCGATGAAGCTTGTTTTGCCGTTCATGTTAAATTACCTTCTACTGCTCCTTTTACTATTCTGTCAGCCTTTGACTTGTACCCATAAACCCCAAAAACCAACTGCCAAACCTAAGTTTAACCTTTGCAAAATACTTTACATAAATATCCATCTGTGAATCATCTACACTCTGATTGATACTACACCACATGACTAAAGGACTTTATATTTTATTTGGTCCACTCTCAACAGCTCTTTTGCATAGCTTCTATTAATGCAATCTTGTGTTCTACCATCAATAAAAATTAAAGACTGCAGCAAATTTCTTTGCAATAAAATGATAGTAACTGCACAGACAGTTTATGTATGCTAAAAAAGTATGTGATAAGAGAAAATTCACAAAATCTCATTACAAAGTACAGACTCTTTCGAATCCATAACTCTGTACAGTGCTGCACTGCTTGGCAATGAATAGAATGTCAATAGATCTTGACATTTTAGATAATTTTAAAATATATTTCATATTACTTAAATATACTTTGTATAGCTCACAGATTTTAAATACACTAAGCATATTTCAAATATGTTCTGAATCACTATGCATTTCAGTTTCTAAAAGACTCCAGCTCATGAACCAAGTGTATAAAGATGAGCTTGTTCCCCTGGACATATCTTATAAACCTCAGGGGTTTTGTCAGAGTCAACTAAAATAAAAGAATGACCTTGATACCTGTTGTGGAGAAGAATTTGATTCTCTCTGTTCACTGCCTAGTGGTTCCTCCTTTTTTAAAGGCAAAACAATGTAAATAAAATCAGTTTTCTTGCAAAGATCTTATAATCAAGTGCAAAACCATGTTAAGATTTATGAACAAAAGGTAAATGAAGTTGAATGAGCATCACCATCAAACTGTACTTTATTTCTGTGAGCCTGGTAACTTCGCAGCAGCACAGAAAGCTGGACTGACTGAAGCCTGCTGCACAACTTGCATTTTGTAGTGCTTTCCGAGCTGGCGTGATGCCAGTGCTGCAGCCAGAAGCACAAAATAACATGCTCTCACCCTTCTTAAGATAGGATAGCAAAGTAAAATGATAGAGTCCTAATGGTTCGGTAAGTGATTCAACCCAGTATGTTAGCTCTGATGATGAGAGAATTGACTAAATAAAAATGACCTTTCTTAGCTGTGGCAATGTAATTTCAGCCCTGCTGGCAATACTGTAGAAGCCAAACCTCCTTTCAGTTTCAAACCTCAGCCTTTGAAAATAACATTAAAGGCTCATGTTGAGCGGCTGCCTTTTTTTTTTTTTTTTTAAGGGAAAACTGAAATGTATCTCCAGTTGGGAAAGTTCCATTTGTGCCTTCTACTGCAGGGAAGGGCAGCAAGGAGAGGGGAACTTCAATTTCTTGTCAGCACTTCAAACTGTCATCTAAATGAAAGACTGCCGCAGCCTTCAAAAGTTCTCATTAAATTAAATTTATAAGTGAAGTATCTACTCCTACATAAGCGTCATGCTAAAGGATATTACAGAATTCAGCACAGCGTCTGCCTAGCTATGACTCCAAATGAAAATATTATTCAAGTTCTTGCCCATATTTTCCATCCAAATATTTGTGAAGTTTCAAATAGCTTAAGGAACCCAGTACTGTCATCATTCCCACTGAAATCAATAAAAGTTCTTCTTTTATTGATTTCTTTTAATACAAAAGGCCTCAAACATTCTATATTGACATCTCTGAAATACTAAACCTAACCCACAGCTATAGCTGAAAGCAGCAATGTATTATTATTTCTATTTACTTGAATGCACAAGGCACTGTACAAACGCACATAAAGAAACAGAAGACTGTGGTCACAGAGGGCACTAACCTAGAGCTCATATCTCAAAACAGCCTATTCTGAAATAATCATATTGATCGACTTCCCTGTGTTGACAAGGCCGGATACAGCAGCCACTGAAATGCACAGAAGAGCTCAAGTCACTCACTGGTACGATGTGCATCCTCACACCTAATCTAATAGGGAAAAAATTTATTTCAGATAAAATACTAATGGAGAATAATAGGTGGCTTGACTAGTGATGGATATCCAAATTGTGTGACAAACTGCAAAATAACAGTGTCCTACTAGAGAACTGTTCCGCACGAGAGATGCTGCATGTCTTGAGAAGCAGCAGAGCGCTGTGCTGTCGGTCCGGGTAGCGGAGGCACAAATGGAGATGCACATCACAGCAAGGGAAATGGTATCAGAGACTGGGGAAAAAGGGGTAATACTGAGGAGCCAGATGAGGAAGAGGAGGAAGAGAGAAGAGGTAGTGAAATACAACAAGAAAGTTTGGGAAACACTACTGTTGATCAAATATCACACAACAATCAGAAAGTCAGCAACGTACATGTATTAAACTTTATCATCATGACCCTAGACTATGTATGACACCACATGACAGAAAACCTACATGCAGAAGGCTGTATCTAATCAGAATTCAAAAAAATAGTGCTAAACCTGCAAAAAATCCTGAATTATGTATATAACTACAGATGTGATGCACACTTTCTTCAGTGGGATGATGCATACGGCTAAAAGTTAAGGTTGTGAAAGTTTAGCAATTAGATTGAAATGAGCACTATAGATAGAATTCACGTTTGAAAAATAAAAACTCTTAATGCTACTGCTGGTCTGCGACTGAGTTGAGAACTTAATTGTGTAACAACTAGTCTAGAACCTCCTAAGGTCAGTTACAGACAAATAATCATCCTAGATGTTCAGAAAACCATTTTACCACGAAATAATAGGCAGACACTAAAGGTCATTTGAAACTGAGGTTTCTAGTTGAGTTTCTATTTTGCCATAAAGCAAGAGACACTGGAAGAACAATTGAACTGGTATGTGGCTTTTTGGCATGTCAGAATTGTGCTTCATCATCCACAGCGAACAAAGCAGTTCCCTTTTATAGCTTTTTCAGTACTTGAATATCTGCCTTGTAAGAGAAATTGTTTTTGCCTAATGTTATGTCTGGTACTTCAGGTGTGGTCTAGCTTTTTATAGCATATTTTTATAGCATATTCTGAAATGCTTTTAAATCTTCTCAACACAGAAAAAAAAAAGACATCAAAAGTTCTACCCTTTTTTGTGATCTTCCTCGCTTACATCCAAGTGGCATTAATAGGACATTAATAGGCCACACAGACACAGAAAACATATTCCTTTTTTCATAAAGACACGAGTGGCCCTGTCAGAGCGCTCTCTCTGTGTGTGTGTGTGTGCGCACTTCTCCGGGGAGCTGGAAGGATGTCTCACCAGAACAAGTTTTCCACTCGCTGCGCAGCTCTGTTCATCAGCAGTGGATGCAGAGCGGGTTATGGAGGAGCCCTGCATGTACCCAAACACTGCGCTCCAGTGGGTGCCAAGACGGTCCGTGCGCTGCCAGCTTTGAGGTTTCGCACGGCAAGAGTTTATTTAAACCCCCCCCTTCCCTGCGGGGTCTTGCCGCGGGCTCTGCTCTCCCCCTGCCCTTTCCCAGCCCTTTACCCGGGAGCTCCCACCTCTCCTCAGCCTCTTCCCGCCCTCCCCTC